TCATGTTGGATGAGCCAAGCCTTAGAGCAGAATAAAAGTAAGGTGTCTCTCTGGAGAACTGTGAAATTTACGTTGCTGCATGTTGTGTAAGCGTATGAGAAGTAATGAGGAAAAGTGGAAAAATGCCAAATGGTGGGGTTCTTTGGATATTAAGTTGTTTGGACTTTATTCTATAGACAAAGAAGCCATTGAAACCTTTTAAACAGAGGAGAGATTATAAATAGGATGATGGGGAGTCCCCTGGCGGTCCAGTGGTTAAGACTCCAAAGCAGGGGACACAGGTTTGATCCCTGATTGGGAAAATAAGATCCCACATGACATGCAGCATGTCCAAAAGATTTAAAATAACAGCACAATGGTTTAATAAGATTAACTGATCAGTAGGCTGGAAAGTAGAGAAACTAGAAGTGAAGCACACATTTAGGAGGTACCTGAAATAAATGACTGATTAGATAATGCTTCTTTGTCCAATATGATAGCCACTAGGCACTGTGGCGTTTGGCCACTTTTAGCGTCATAGGTTGAAATGATAGTATTTGGGATATATTGGATTAAATAAAATATAATATTAAAATGAATTTAACCTGTTTGTTTTTACTTTTTAAAACATGGCTACTAGAAATTTTACTTTTTTTGAGGGGTGGGGGCTGTGCGGCTTGTGGGATGTTAATTCCCCAACCAGGGATTGAACCTTACTCTCTCCACAGTGAAAGCATGTAGTCCTAACCACTGAACCACCAGGGAATTCCCTAGAAATTTTAAATTACACACATGATTTACATTTTATTTCTATTGAACACTGCTGGATTCAAAGAAAGAGGGAAATAAATCAAGTTACTCAGGGCAATGGAAATGGCACTATCATTATGAAAACTAAGGAAAGTGGGACTGTGAGGAAAAGAGGATAAACTTGTTTTCAGAAAAAAATGCTTTTACATAGATTTATTTGGGAGTGAAATAAGAAGTTGTACTTAACTTTACCTTAAATTTCTCAAACTTATTTGACCATAGATTGCTTTTCTAACAACTATTAAGTGCTAAAATGTTAGTGCTTATCTAGTGTGGGTGTGTGCTCAGTCACTAGATTGTGTCCGACTCTGTGACCCCCCATGGACTGTAGGTCACCAAGCTCCTCTGTACATGGGATTTTCTGGGCAAGAATACTGGAATGGGTTGCCATTTTCTCCTCCAGGGAATCTTTCTGACCTAGGAATCGAACCCGTATCTCTTGTGTCTCCTGTGTTGGTAGGTGGATTCTTTACCACTGCTGGGAAGCCAATCCACATCAGAGACATTCAGTCAAAGATAAGATAGGCTTTGAACTTGCAAACTAGGAGAAAATTTCAGTCCTTTCAATACCTGGGAAGGAATCAGTTCAGTTCAGTTCAGTGGCTCAGTCGTGTCCAACTCTTTGCAACCCCATGAATCGCAGCATGCCAGGCCTCCCTGTCCATCACTAACTCCTGGAGTTTACTCAAACTCATGCCCATCGAGTCGGTGATGCCATCCAGCCATCTCATCCTCTGTCGTCTCCTTCTCCTCCTGTCCCCAATCCCTCCCGGCATCAGGGTCTTTTCCAATGAGTCAACTCTTCGCATGAGGTGGCCAAAGTATTTGAGTTTCAGCTTC